GCGTTTAGCGGGGGGCCCGGTGCACAGGGAGCCCCGGAAACGTTAGTGTTTCTAAAAGCCAATGGAGTGAGGAAACGTTTCAGCTTTAAATGCCACATCAGGAAGACACGGCAGGATTGGCGTTCTGTCCGCCACGCGAAAGAGCAGGCCCTGCAGGGCACGCGCCGAGTTTTAAATGTCTCCTGTTTCCTGTGAGGGCCACACGGACCTCCCTGTGGTCCTGCTCCAGCGGAGTGTGTGTGTGTGTGTGTGAGCGAGAGAGAGAGAGAGAGAGAGAGAGAGAGAGAGAGAGAGATGGCGGAGCAAGACGGTAGGAAACGCCAGGGGACGCGGAGCGGCCGACAGGGAAGAAGGAAGGATGGCCCTGGCTGGTGTGCCCAGTGGCTAGAGCGTCGGCCTGCGGACCGAAGGGTCCCGGGTTCGATTCCCATCAGGGCACTTGCCTGGGTGGTGGGCTCAATCCCCAGTAGGAGGCCTAGAGGAGGCAGGTGATCCATGGTTCTCTCTCATCATTGATGCTTCCATCTCTCTCTGTTCCTCTCTCTGAAATCAATAAAAATATTTTTTTAAAGAAGAAGGAAGAGTGGGTCCCTGTCTCTCAGTTCCCATCTCGTCAGATAACTCAGCTGCGCCTGTTCCCGGCACCAGCCGCCTCTGTGTGTGAGGGGGGCGCTGACGGGAGGTCGGGGAGTGGGCTCCCTGAGGACATCGGGGTCCACGCCCCTCCCGCTCCCCCGGGGCCCTCAGGAGCCACTGATCGCTGGGGCCTGGCTTCGCTCCCTTGCTCTGGGAGACAACACGGAGACAGGGGCGCTTGCTTCACGGGGCGGCCGTGAGGACTCAGGGGCTCAGGTCCTCAGCTGGTCTTGTCCCGCCCCGAGTGCGCATCGGACAGGTGGGTCAGGAGGAGGCCGGTGCTCCTGATTGGCCCCGAGGGCCTTCCATCGTGTTGATTGACTTGACAAGAAGCAGGTGCCCAGGAAGGCAGCCAGCTCACACTCTAGTTTCAGGCTGAGCATTCAGGAGGGTGCTGAGCGTGGGGCTCGGTGGGCTCCCGCCTCCTGCGTCCTCGCCCTCCATTGGACTCGTACGTCAGCGCCACCGGTGCCTGGTCCTGGAGGAACCTCTGGACCTGGGAGCCCGAAGGATGTGCCTTTGGGGGGAAGAGCTGGAAACCGGGAAATGAAGGCCACGTGCAGGCCGGGCAGGTGGCGCCGGCCGCGTCTCCCACCGCACACGCCGCCGTTTCCATCTGAACATGACGAAGCTGAGCATTTCCAACTGGTTCCCGAAGCCCACAGTTCCTGAGGGCACAGAGCTGTGTAATTTTTTTTTAAAGTCAATTTTCCACATGACAGGCATGGCCGGCTGAGCAGCGTCGGTCGACAGCGCGGCCGAGGTAACGGGGAGCGGGGTGTGACTGTGCGTCGTGCCCATAAGCACTTCTGTTAAAACTGGCGCGGCCAGCCCTGGCCCGGGTGGCTCAGGGGTTGAGCGCCGGCCTGCGGATTGAAGGGTCCTGGGTTCGATCCCCAGTCAGGGCACAGGCCCAGGTGTGGGCTCCATCCCCAGTGGGGAGCGTGCGGGAGGCAGCCGGTCAGTGATCCTCTCTCTTCACTGCTGTTTCTGTCTCTCTCCCGCGCCCTCCTCCCTGAAATCAATAAAAACGCATTTTAAAAAACAAACAGAAGCCAGCGCCACTCACAGTCCTACTCGCGGGAAAGCACACACCCCGCCAGCGTGGGGCCGCGCCCTTCCCTACAGGCGGCAGGAGGGGGTTAAAGGCTGTTCCGCTTCCCTCGCCGCCGTCTCTAAGGCGTCTGTGGCCTCTTTATTTTAACGGAGAAAGGATTCCCCACGTCAACATGCCGCCCCGTCAGCGAGAGCCGAGGAGCCACCTCTAAGGAGGTTCCGTGGGGAGGACGCCATCACCTAGGGCAGTGATTCTCAACCTTCCTAATGCCGCGACCCTTTAATACAGTTCCTCATGTGGTGGTGACCCCCAACCATAAAGTTATTTTCGTTGCTGCTTCATCACTGTCATGTTGCTACTGTTATGAATCGTAATGTAAATATCTGATATACAGGATGTATTTTCATTGTTACACATTGAACATCATTAAAGCATCGTGATGAATCACCAAAACAATATGTCATTATATGTGTGTTTTCCGATGGTCTTAGGCGACCCCTGTGAAAGGGTCGTTCGATCCCCAAAGGGGTCGCGACCCACAGGTTGAGAACCGCTGACTTAGGGCCACCGGCTCCTCAGCCGGGAAACCTCGTCACCGAGAAACCCTGGCAGGGCCGCAGGGGTCACAGCCCGCGAAGTCCCCCCGAGCCCGGCTGGTGGAGGGGCAGGTGTTCCCTGTCGCACGGAGCAACTTCCTGTTTAACCCGTGTGAGGGGCACGGATGTCATTTGTTACAGGTGTGGGGTGTCGGCTGCAGAGGATGATTGCACCCCAATGCATTCCTGGTGCGCTTGGGAGAGTGCCCGTCCCAGCCCGTGTCCCCCACACACAGCCACGCGTCCCCCACACACAGCCATGCGTCCCCCACATGTGACCGCACATCCCACACACACAGCCACGCATCCCCCACACGTGACCACACGTCCCCCACGCATGGCCACGCTTCCCACACACACAGCCATGCGTCCCCCACACGCTTCCCACACGTCCCACACACACGGCCATGCTTCCCACACACGCGACCACACAGTGTATCCGCCCGGGCAGGGAACCGCATGCGTGCTGTCAGCAGTGTGACCTGGAAGGGGAAGGCGGGGGGGGGGGGGGGGGGGGGGGGGCTCTGGCTCCCTTTCGGGGACGATGGGAGTTGCCGGAATGAACACGTGTCCTCTGGCCTCTGCAGGTCTGATCCGCCTGCAGGAGCTCATCAAGGCCCCCTCCAGACACAACCTCCGGCTCAGGATCCGGCAGCTGCCCCCCGGGACCAAGGACGCCAAGGCCCTGCTCAAGGAGATGAAGGGGGCCCGCGAGTTCCACGTGATCTTCGACTGCTCCCTGGAGACGGCCGCCCAGGTCCTGCAGCAGGTGAGGGGCGAGGGGGGGACACGCGTTGCTCTCTCCCAGGATCGCGTCCGCCTCCCCA